CTTCAAGCCACGGCTTTTAGCGCACCGTGATAGATTCAAGCGCATTCAGATTCAGTATAGTGAGGAGAGAAACGCGCCGGGGGTCGACCTAACTCTCTCTCTCCCACCGTCTAGCGACCGCTTAGCTGCTCGGACACCTGAGGTGGGGTCAAAACTGGGCGCACACACACACACATACCAAAATGTGTGTGGAAATTGTGAGTACAAGTGCTGTAGAGCCACAAAAATATGAGAACACACAGATAAGACCAATGTCTACAAACCTTGATGCACAGAGGTAAACTATCATCAGCACAGGTTGTGTGGCGAGTAGGAGGAGAAAACTGGTCGAGATGTTGAGTGGAGCCAAGCAACCAAAGAATACGCACCAGAGCAGCAGGCAGATACACTTTGTCAGACGCCGATCTTGCCCATAGCCCAGCCAGCGACTACATTAAAGGAGACAATAAGCACTTCATCAAAAGGCTGCATGCAAAAAGAGATTAAAAACGGTGATATAGGGAATAACCACGGGCTTACGTGGTACTGGAGTTCGTAGAATAAGTACTAGCAGGCACAGGGCAGTTAAAGGAGGTCAATAATAATGATGGTTTGCCCATCCATTTGGACGGAGACTGCCATTAGCCTCGGGAAATACTGTAGAATTTCCCTTTTCCTCACGTTTACTGCGTTATAACGGATAGCATTCCTTGTGAAATTGTGAAAAATTCGCGGCCTCGGTGGGAGCCAAACCCACACAGTGGGGAAGGCCTCTGCGCAGCCAACGCTTTACCATTGAGCTAAGAGGCTCACCGTGAGCCGGTTCGACTCCCACCGAGGCTGCGAATTTTTCACAATTGGGTGAACTGAATTAAACAAATCTGCCAAACCTTCCTAACAGGTCGTTTTTTTTAAAGTTTCCCGATCCCGGAGTATTTCAGTCCGACTTGCCGTGGCATTTGCGCTTAGGGTTTCCAGTCTAAAAGTTGTATGCTTTCTGGGGAAATAAAGCCATACATTACTAGATGCCATATATGTAGTGTTCATAGAAGTTGCAGTGGATATGGGCCAGGATCTACAACTCATGAGGGGTATCATTATTAAGCGGAGGGATACGATGCTAGTAGGATAAACAGTGTACAGTCTTTTCTCAATAAAATAAACCTTTTTAAACGCAAGGTAACCTTCTCTCGAGTAGTAAGGTCAAAGGAGGCGTAATTGGCTATCTACTGAGTATAATAAAGAATACTTATGTGCAGGTTTTCTATTAAATATAGCTTAATTTCTAAGAGCATCGATAATCAACAGAAAAAATGCATGCTAAATAAATAATCTTCTTACCAAATCAACCGACAAGTGCAGTATCCGGGCCTGCTTTAAATATTATTGGGCTATGCCGCACGATGATCGACCTGACAGCGTCAATTAAGTACTCCTTCCCCCTCGAAAACGCAACTCAGAATTCGGTAAAGATTTCATCAGATTAGTCACTATGTTATCTTTGGCAGAACAATTTTGGAATTATTAGAAGGCTTTGGCAGATTTGAATAATTCAATTGACCCAATTGTGAAAAATTCGTGGCCTCAGTGCGGTTCAAACCCACACAGCAGGGGAATCTTTTGTATCGCAAACGCGCTACCATTGAGCTAGGAAGGCCAGCCGAAGCTTTGAATTTAATCCCAGTTGGGTCGATTTACCCGCCCAACCTACTCCACGTATGGAATGCACCATTAAGGATACAATATGCTGACTGTCCAGGCAGGATTTCCTAAGCAATCACCTAGAATCCACCTTTTACCATGACCCCCTACCTTATCCCTTGCTCACCGTGAATTGAGTCATTTTTTGCTGACAATTTTGGATATTTCCTTCAAAATAAAGTATTCTCTCTTTCGGAATGATAACTAGGCTCACCTAACTATTAGGAGGGTTTGGCAGATTTAACTAATTCAATTGACCTAATTGTGGGCGGGTAAATAGACCCAAGTTTGATCAAATTCAAAGCTTCGGCATGCCTTCGTAGCTCAATAGTAGAGCGTTGGCTGTACTAAAGCCATCCCTGCTGTGTGGGTTCGAATTCCACCGAGGCTGTCAATGTTTCACAATTGGGACAATTGGATTTTGGAATTCTTCACCCCCATCTTTTGTAAAATTATGTCTGGCCTACATGCAATTGTTTTCTTCCCCCAACAATAGCTTCCGCCCCCCCCCCACCCCCACCTGTTCAATGCCTGCTGTCTCAACGTCATGCAGCTGTTTGCAACTCGTTCACCTGAAGACCTTTGAACGACTTTCATTCACACATACACGCGTGTCAGCAACAGTTGCGGCTATCCAAAAGTCACTTGAAAACACCACCTTTCGGCCGATGCAGCAGGAGCCTCTAAACGCGACACCCTCTCGGGCTCCACTGTCACATAAAAGCAGCTGCCCCCTCTCCCACTAACACACGTTCTTTCAGACCAGGTTTCGCCCTGCACGCCCTGCGACGTTGTCAAACACGCGTTGTTTCTTTGTGTCGATAGTCAGGCATTATATTTGGCCGACTACCTTGTTACTGACTACGTGTATCCACTGTTGAGGTTGATAGGCTTACTCTTGCCTGTTTATTGAATAGTACCGTACCATACCAATTGTTGTCGTGATTGGGAGTTAACGTACGCGTTACGACTGGGTACTGAGTCAAAGGATACTCGAACACACTCACTAAACTGTTTTACTAGTGATAACCTAGGCGGGCATCAGAAGTGAAAGAAGCGGCAGCGGCTTTAAAATACTCACCTTTTTGACACAACTGCCAAGAGGGGCAGAGCTACGACGAGCAAAGCGAATATGGCTGCAAAGGCGATCCAACAGTAGTATTCGGACAGTGGCCACACAGACTCCGGATCAGACTGCTGCCTTGAGATGTAATCGAAGAGAAACTCGGGAAACTCGTGCATGATGAGTGCGCCCAGGAAACATAAGCCCAACGAGGCAAGAGCGGAGAGCGCCGGTTGAACCAGGTCGTAGCCTTTTCGCCCCTCTGAAGGCCCCTCCCGCTTGGGGGACGGCACGGGTGAGACTGCCTCCTGTAAAGTCAGACATAAGCGCATAATCGTTATTCAAGCCCCAAACTCCACAAAATCGTCTTCATCAGGAAATGAAAATGCTCGGGGGACGGGGAGAGACCAAGCAGTTTAAAAGGCAGTATGAATAATCGGTAGGACTGTCTTTAGATGTCCTAGATGCCTTTGACTTATAATCATAAACTACTTCCACATTTTCAGTAGCTCGATTTTCCTTTTTTCTTCGTTAAATTCCGCCAATATAAGGTCGAAGTTCCCTCAACAGGCATCGGTTGCCTGGGCAACAAGAGTTCATGTGGATTGAATTGATTATATTTAGCTCACTAAAAGAATAATTCTTTGATCACTTTTAACCCAATTAAATATTCATTGACATCCGTTGACTAAGAGAAAACGTTTAACCACCATTCCGTTAGACAGTTAGGCGGGTTAACATATATATTTAGATGGCCCTACAAGACAGTTTTGCTGAATAATTTTTCGTCGGTATAGATGATAGAAGAGCAGAAGTTGTTGCCCTTTACGACAGAACTAACCTCCATCTTCTTCTTCCTACTACGAATGGCAGCTTCATCAGATTCGTTGACAGCCGGCTCCACAGGAGATTTAGCCTGTGTCTCAACAGAAGCAGCCAAGTGCTCCTTTTTCGGATGGCTAACCTGCTCCGCGCCGGCAATGGAATCCTTTAAGAACATTTCTCCATACAGGACGAGGACCTTGGAGACGAACGCAAAAAGTGCATGCTTCGCATTAAAAAAGTAGTCAAGAGAAATGTTTTTAGGGAAAACAAATCGTGCAACACTTTCGATAAGTGAGTCCTCATAATTCTTGTAATCGCCAAGAGTTTTTTGCCAAAGTTAGTAAAATTAAACCTAGCGGTTGCCAACAAAGGCCGCGCTTTGATATGACAGAGGATTCACTGATATTAACGGTACACGTAGTTGCAAAAAGTACTGCCACCGACGTGTCTCGAACCTACAGCAGATGTAACAGTCGGGGGGCGCTCTCATCATTAAGTGGTGCACAGGTAACTAAGGCGGGTGTCACAGAGAAAGTAGACCGTCCAACAAAGTTCGCAAATGCAAAGTAACAAGCGCATGTGGGTTGACAGCAGTAAATGATCGAAAGAATCTCCACAGTCAACGGGTCCACGGACAAAGTGGGGAGAAAACATTCCCAGGTGGTGAACACGAACTTCATGAGCCCACGAAGAAGCAGGTACCCTCCCGAGCTGCACAATCAGCAAAAGAAAGTCGAGTACTATGACAACTCATGGTGTCCCGGGTGAACGAGGTCACGAAATCGGTCGGTTTGACCATAAACGCTGGGAAGACCAAAGTGTTTTTATGCTGCATCCATGCCCAAAAGCAGGCACCTCTTGAGATTAGTGGCTGTCAGCTTGAAGAGGCATACAGTTTGAAATACCTCGG